AACGTCTCGGGTTACTTATGTAACCATGGTTCCCTGAGTAGGGAACGAGACATTTTCAATGTATGCTTCAGACACGGGTCACGACGAGGCGTTCCCCCATAGCGACCCCTAGAGGACGCAGTGTCTCGTTCCCTACTCAGGGAACCATGGTTACATAAGTAACCCGAGACGTTTTCATTGGTTTCTGCAGTATACTCACTCAAAGCCTTTGCTGGCTGCATTTCGTTTTCCGGTGAAGAGGGCCTCATTAGCCACTCTCCACCGGATAAGCACTTGTGTGTACTCATCTGTCCCTGTAACATTCAAACAAGATTGTTACAAGTTACTTCTGTGATTTATGTTTTCAGCACTACACACAGGAAAAAAGTTACTCAGTGGTTCTTTGGGTTGGCCCAGGTGCTATATAGCACTAAAATGGTTCCTCTATGATTACGAGCCAGCAAACCACTTTTAGTGCTCTTTAGAACCATTTATTTTAGAGTGTACATATAAATGTTGAGGCAGTTGCTGATGTGTTTTATCCAATAACATTTGCTACGCAATTTATCAACAGTACTAATAGACAGATACATTTGATAGCTTATTGATAACTTTAATTTCTTGAAACCTTTAAAATAGTATGGTTTTATTTACATTACATAATTATTTACATTAGCAGTGTTGACAACAGTGAATTCTACTGCATAGCTAATAGCACACACACATCACTGATGTCTATTTCATGTTGTGATGTTCTCTTCTGCAATACTTGTCGAAGATGTTTCTGTCAGATATTACATAAACATTTAGTAAACGTCTTTAACTATGTATATAATTAAGAACATATAAAATGCTAAAGTCACAAGCCATCTGAATTAACATACGTAAGTTTCCTAGTTAAAAACTGCACATTAACGTGCTTGCAATAGCGACTTTAGAAGTGGGAATAAGGACATTTATGATAGCACGTGAATGCAGCAATCCACTTTGTAGACGCATGTGTGTTTACTGGAGCTCAGCAGTGGCTATAAATAAAGAAGTTATATACAAATACATATCTGTGCCAACACCTTCAACAATTCAACAGTTTACTTTACAGTAGTTAAAAAAATTCAATTTTAACACAAGAAACCATGTTTTTGGTTTTTAATACTCACATTTGAAAACATCCTCATTCTTCTCCATGTTCGATTATGACGTATCCTCCTCCTCTTCTTTTTCTTCTTAAGGATTTGCGGCAGGCTAGACTCATCCTCTCGTCTTCTTGGTTAACGTATCCTCTCCCATGGCATTGTGGAATAGAAAAGTATCCCGCGATCGGCACTTCGGAGTCTGGAGGGGACGCAGTAGGCCATTCGGGGATCTCTCGCCTACTCTTCTATGAATACTGTGGTTTCAGACATACTACTCTTCTCACGTACCCATTTCCCCTACTATATAGTAGGTAATATTTGAACGATACTTAAGTATACGTACGCCCGAATCTCGTGAGAAATAGTGCTCCATCCAGGTAAATCTCGCCTACTCTTTTGTGGATATTGAGATTTCATGCATACTTTTCCTTCGCCTACTGCTTTTTGCCTACTAAATAGTATGGAAGTATGCGGTTTCGAATGCAGCCTCTGTGCACCTTTTATATATTACCATTCACTTCCTCAGCTTGTGAAAAAGCAGTTTTGAGCTTTGATTCATCATGTGACTTTCTCATCACCACCTGTTTCTGGTGGTTATCAGTGTATTACAAAGGTACAAAACAGATATTAGTATGTCAATAGGTTGGTATATTAACATTATATCAATTAATGATATACGGTTCCCTCTTTTAGTCGGTCACTTCAACGTTGTGCCGAAGTTCCGACACTAGGGATCGCACTTGGAAGCCCAGACACTGCTGACATAGAGAAAAGGCCAATGAAATTGGCATGCAAAATTTGCATAGCTGGCCACGTCCTGGACATCTGGGTATAAATAGGCCAGTGTGGCATTTGGCACAAGCAGAGGTTTCTCCCTTGCCCATAAACAGATAAGTGTAGTGAGAGTACCCCTGGGTGCTTCAACTGCGATCTTGTGGTTTGCACATCTCACCCTCTGACAGGCACAATCGCTGTGCTCAGTGTTTGGCCCATGCCCATGCTGAAGCAGCTTTTGTGGATGGTTCATGTTCTTCTTGGGAGGACATGTTGCACTCGCGGCTCGCGTTCTTTTTAGAAAGACTGCAAGTCACCCCAGCTGCTTCCCGTCCTGGCCCTTCTACTTCTAGGTACGAGTCCACGATGATGTGCACTGAAGGAGAGCAAGGAGATGCTGCGGGAGCAGTTCCAACAGATGAATTCCTGCAGACCGGGGAGCGGGGTTTGACCGATTGGAAGCGGATGACTCAACTAAACTGGTCTGAGCCTGACACTGAGATGGCAGCTGTGCTTAACCGGGCAGCAGAGAGCATAAGACTTTAGTGGATTCTTCCACCCTGTCCTGAGCACTCTCGCTTGAATGATTGGTTATTGGAGACCGAGTGCGAAATTCAGCTGTGCTCCACCCCAGTTCCTTTCTTCCCGGAAGTGTATGAGGCGATGATGAATTTGTGGAAGGCACCTTTCTGCCATAACACGATACATTGTTTCCTTTGCTTTCCCTACCCTTGACAGTGGTCCAGTGAGGGAATACACAGGGGTCCCCCGGGTGGAAGGAGCGATTGCGGTGCATTTTGCATGCAAAACGCCACCACCTGTAAGGGTCACCTGGGCTGCCCTTCCTGGTGGCTCCTCAGGACCGTTCGGCTCGGCCATGTGATTCAGTTCGCCAGGCATCTGCCGAAGTTCAGTGTCATTCTGTTACTTCAGTGAGTATGCAAGAGTGCAGTGAGTCAGCAAGAGTGCTGCTGTTCTTCGAGCAAAGTTGCGTCCCTTCTGGGTGCTATAAATCCTGTCCCTCAAGCTGAGATGAAGAAGGAGTCTTACAGCCCCTACTTTATTTTATCCAAGAAGGGTGGGGGGCTCAGTCCAATCTTAGACCTAAGGGTGCTGAGCCGGGCCCTTTACAAGCTCCTGTTCAGAATGCTAACCCTCAAACACTTACTTTGCTTGTAGTGTTTCAGCTAAATGCCGTATCCATGTGACTTAAAACAATCTGAGCTGTCAGTGTGCCCCAGCTACCTCTGGTGTTTCTGAGCTGGGTAATGTGTTTCAACTGTCATAAGTCTGAAACTGTAGAGTCTTCTGAGCTGTGCCGAGTGCTTCGGCTGTCTTTTTTCCCCCTTTAACTCATTTTTGTGGGAACATTTTTTGTAGGGAGGTGGATGCCTTTTCTTTGGGAAATTACACTTTTATCCCGGATTTAAATTAGAGAGGGAGTAAGGGAAGGATCTCTGTTTTGGAGTTGACTCAGTAAGGTGCAGATAGATCTGTTGGCCTCACAAGAATTCACTTATTGCCCACTGTGGGTTCTCTGACTGAGGCCCCTTCGGCATGGACACACTGGCAGACAGCTGGCCCAGGCCAATGCAAATATGCATTTCCCCCAGTGAGCCTCATTGCTGTCCCAAGAAGACTTATTTCT